CTATTGCCTACTCGGGTACTTGGTCATACCGGCAGTCACCTCTCACCACCTAGATTAGGTACAACTGCCCACAATTCCAGAACCAAGAAGACGCAAGCTCCCTCACGATTCCTCAAGCCTGAGAGCAGTTCAAACTCCACCGAAGATATCCGAACCAACCCACCTCTACAATTCGCCTCCTCCACCGCCGTTAACCAGACACTCCCCTAACTAAGCCCGTCATCCCGCCTCTGCCGATCCACTCACCTAAAAGAAAGATGGCCCTTGACTTAACTGCTACTATTATACAGAAAGCATCAGAAGCAGCGCATCCACTGCTCTCACAGGATAGAACCATGAACCTACCGATCCCGCGGGCTCAGACGGACCCACTGCAGTATTGGGTCTGGTTTGGTTAGTTTAGCACGGACTGATATAGCTTCCTCCTATAGCTTACACTACCCTACCCTACACTACACCACAGATAATACTACATACAGTACATACAGTACAATTCATACCATACTATTCTATAATCCACTACCCATCTACAAAGTCTCTCGAATCTTCAATTCAATAAACGCCCCCACCCTTGCCACCGCATCTGCAATCACTATTTAATCCACTGCACGGGAGTATAGTATACAGTACACGGTACCGTATCCACAGTACCTCACTCAGTAACTTATATAGTTAGTACAGTAAAAGGGATTGATATCCCCCAAAGGGTGCTAATTCAATTGTGATCTCACATTCTTGATCTACTCTACTCCTATAAGTTACCTACGGAGTAACTTACAGTACTCACCATTGGCCACTGGCGATTCCCCTCGGACCCGATACGGTCGAAGCGGCTGGATATCATATCCTTCCTATCATATCATATCACCTCATATCCGTATATGATCGGTCCGACACCTTTCCCCCACCCCCAAAACTCATCTGGGGAAAGGAAAAGGGGCTACCGGGTCCCAGCCCCTGGGGCCGGGGAAAAGGGGACTACCTAGTTATCGTCTCGATGATCATGCAGGGACGTTGCGGTGCGGTGTAATTTGACTTGTGTGATTGTGCTTGTGCTTGAGGTACCGGGAGGTAGTTAGGGGGATGTATGAGTTAACCTAATCTGCACTCTAACTCTATCTATACAGTTACGCGGAGAGGAGTCTACGGTGGAGGGTGGATGGAGTGGGATACACTGTACACTGTAGCCTGAGTTGATTGCGGAGGGCCGGGGGGTGGACTTGGAGCTTATGGACATTTATATTGGCAAATCGGATACAGAACGGGCATTGTAAATTTGCTCCATACTGGGCTCTGAGCTTGTTACGATGGGGGGGGGGGCTAGGTAGGTAGGGATGAGGCGTCTGGTCTACCGTACGATCCTGACAAATGTAGGCAGACGGACAAGTAGGCAAGTAGGCAAGTAGGCAAGTAGGCAACGCCGCAGGCGGCAGACGGGCTTGTTTCCTCCATTGCCCCTGAGACTTGATTTCACTCACGGGGAATACAATACACTGGATGTGGCAACCGACATTGTCCCGCGGGCATGGCAGTGTGTTGTCTACATGCCAATCACCTCGGAGAAGGAAGTTACAGACAGTTATGCCAATTCAATATGAATCAAATGACCAGGTAGCCATGATTACCGGCGACTCCGGAGTCTCACGGCCAGTGCATGCACGGATCACGGTATCGAATTAAACAACCTCAGCGATAGTTAACACCAGCTAGCCACATGCTTGCTTAGTCTGCTATATCACCGTCAAGTACTGTCACAATAATTGAAAAGAAAACAAAATATGGACAATCCGGATCCACTACCAGTTCAACAAGATCCCATGAAAATGTCTCACAATCACAGTAAACTGAATTCAGATGGCCGACGTAAATGCAACAATCTTGGAAGATTTTTGTTCTCAGGCACAAGAAACAATCAAACAACTTTTCTGGAGAGGTCATGCAGCGTAAACAACGTTTCCCAAACACCCAACTTCGCTTTGCCTGGCTTGGAGTAATTTTGTCAAAGAAACACAAACGATGATATGGGAGTATGCAAATAGCGCCAGGAACACACAATGCAAGAAACGGCGAGGTCAATGCAACAATTTGGTATCGGGACGTAAAGCAATAAAAACTTCGTATAGAAACACATCAAACGAAATTTTAAGAAGGGGATAATGTGTGAGGTATTCGTGTAAGGCAGCGAACGGCAAAGCTAAATCTCGAGAGCCTCAATTGCGGCTTCGGGCTCGTGACTTTCCGCTTCCAAGGCTTCCACGGCTCGGTGCAACTCATGCTCACCAACCAGAATGGTACCCGCGCGGGCCGTGCTGAGGAAACTAATCTCCACGGCATCCATCGACAAGTCCATGTCCGGTTGCAAGCGATGGGTTGCAACGGTGGCGTCGAGGCCAAGAGGTCGCACTGGTCCACCGGATCCCCAGCTGGAGGAGAGGAAGGGTTTGAAGGCACTGTCCAGAGAGGTGCCCGAACCATTGTAGGAACGAGACAGGAAGGTGGAGACATCGGTGTCCTCATCGTCTCGGGCATGAGTAGCATCGGCCAGTCGACTAGCAACGCCACAAACGATACCTGTCGCCTCGAGGGGCAGTTTGCGGAGATCCAGCATGATGGGAACTAATATCTCCTCCTTCGACCCGAGTAGAAGACTGGACTCATCATCTTCGTCCGCAGTTGTGGAGTTCCCATGCGAGAACCGCGGAAGAAGCCGTTTCTCCAGAAGTAGAGATGCCGCGGGATCAGCAGCGGTCAAGGTAAGTGACAAAAACCGTGGCTTATCGACAATCAATGTAGTGGTGAGGGCCTCGCGCAGGATCTCGATCGAGCTGGTGTTGCTGCTGAATTGATGGTGGGCTGCACAATGCACTAGACGAAGCGAGCGATCGACAGAAGGGATGATGTGATTCTTGCGTAGTGACGAGAATGTGCGCACTTGTAGTTCATCTAAAGACGAAGGGGGAGGAGTGGCCGGAGGGGAACTCAAACTACTTGCCGAACGAGAGGAAACAGGACTGAAGCAGCTACCGTATTGAGCCTGATTGTTGTTGATGAACGCCTCCGTTGACAGTTCGAACTGGAAGCCACGCTTCTCCAGCGTCTCGATCACTTGAGTCTTGCTGCGCAGGGGGACAATGATGTAATCCGAGAAGTAGGTCGAGATGAAGAAGATGGAGCTACATCATTCCAGTCAGTGCGTTCCTCAAGATCTCAAATCAGTTGGTACGTACATTCCAGCCATGGCCAGTGGCCGGGTGAGTTCCAGGACCCGCTGGCCAGCTTCCAGACCCTCGCCGTACACCTGCATGGCAATGAAATCATCGTGGCTGATCGACAGGCGACTCTGGCTGGACGAATTGTTGCGAAGAAACTTATCGACCAATGGCGCGAAGTACTGATTGGCAAGCTGTCTTGGACACATGATGGAGCATTCCACCGGGGTGATAGAGAGGTTCAAGAATGCGGGCTGCGTATGTTTGAGCATTTCGGCACGGCCGAAGTCCTGGCCTTCCGTTCGAGCCTCAGCGATCGGAGATACCTCATGAAAGAGCACCTGCAGAATCGGGTTGAGGAAGAACGGGTAGAGATCCAGTGGAATATGCACCAGGGCCAGTCGATCTTCCTGTAATTCCACGACGGTGGTTAGTGAGACGAGCTTGAGCGGAGTAGATGCCATGCTGTGTTGTCTGTATGAAGAAGGACATGGCAATGAGGTGTACAGGGTAAGTCAAGGCTCACCATGAACTGGACCTGGGCAGAGATGAGAGACAGTGATTGCTCCATCTTGCTAGACTTTGTGTGGACAGAGAAGGGCCGCAGCAGGCGTTAATTCACTGTAGTGACAGTCGACGACCAGGCAAAGTAGACAATTCAATCAGGTCAAGGTAGTGTCGGCACGGTCTAATACCAGTCAGAGGTGAGAAGCGCAGACCGATAGTGTGGAAACTCACAGTATAGATCAAGATCGATCAGTGGTGGACAGGAGTAGAGATAGGAGTAGAAAGGAGTAAAAGGATTGATGAGATTTCAGTAATAAAAAAAGTAGACAGTCCAGTAATAAAGTATGTATGGAGCCACCAGGCTGCGGCTGTACAGTGCAGTGCAGTGTAGTGCAGGCAAGGCAAGGCCGATCAATCGCCCGGGCGATCACTTTAATCTGGGGGATTATGACGCCAGACGGTAGGTTGAGTCAGGATCCTTTGTTCGCTTTTTCTTTCTGTGCTTGAAAGACCTGAATAGTTCGTAGCCTCGATTGATCATTGTTCTCCCACCCCTGGTTACGCCATTGTTTGGACAGATGATATCAATGCAGGTGGGTGTAGCACGGAAGACGGGATTTAGTAGATCATCATCGATGCAGAAGGCAATTGAGGAGATTACGGCATGAAGGAGGAATTTGCGTCACCGTTGATTCAGTAGGAGGAGGGGGGGGGGGGGGGGGGATGGTGGTCTTGTGAGAGGATAGAGGAGATTGAAGGTTAATTGAGGGTGAAGCAAAAGAGGCAGAAGTAGAAGAAGAAAGAGGCAGATGAGGGGAAAGACCAAAAGAGGATTTGAGTTAATAGTCCACAGGGACTGAGTAAGGTAGGTAGTTGTTGCAGAAGACAGAAGAGGAGAAGAGCTTAGTTTAGTTTAGAGGTGGAAAGCAGGTGACTCGACAACCACCACTTCCCTCGTGGCTGGTGATGCGATGCAATTCGTCTGTTCCCTCCAACCACACACTCACTCACTCACTCACTCGCTCACTCACTTTTCTCTTCAGGTTTTCTCTTCTCTACTACTACACTGACTCAACTGACTCAATGTAATGGTTGGGTGGAGTCTGGACCAGTTCCTGTCCGGCTTCGAAAATGTGACACTGCGACCTGACCGTTTCAGCGACAGTTCCACAGCGGATGTTCGGCTGGTTGTGACCAGAGTATGAAGTAGACCCCAATATTTGAGTGTCAATCAGTAACTGTTGGAGACAGGAAAAAAGAAAAAGAAAAAGAAAAATTTAAGTTCACTGCTGATGATGACTGGCTGCAGGACAAGAGAACACACAGACACACTCGCGTTTCTTCTACAAGTCCTGTACTGTACCAGTGTACCTCGTGCGATTCCTTCCCAAGCCAAGGACGAATCGAAAAAGAGATCTGAGAATGAGTGCAGATTGACCCAACGAACTCTGGTTCTTATCCTTTACCTCTCCCAATTTTTTTTTCCTTTACGCTCACACAACCTCGACCACCACAAACCTTTTTACCTAATACTTCGAATCGAGTCATTCCAACGCCCTTTTCCGGCCTTTATCTCTTGTCTCCAGCTGCCAGGCTCCACCGGGACCCAGACTGCTTATCAGTCGAACCAGCAAATCCCTTTGGATGGCGCCCCCGCGCTAGGCGCTGGTCCCGACCGAAGTGTTGCCCTGTGCTCAACTGCTCGGATGGATGATCGCTGGTTCTAGCGGGTTAGGTTTGCTCTCTTTTTCCTTTGGGTGATGCTCATCAATCAGCGCGCGCGCGCGCACGGATCGATAAGCGGACGCCTCTGGTTTGGCTCGCCAACCGTCTTCTCACTCCCTCCCTCCCACTCCCATCCTGCGCAAACCTTAGAAAGCAAGCCTCCCTCCCCCCCCCCTCCACCTTCTTACCTTCTCGGCTCCCCCGCACTTTCCAGGGGCAAGGATGTTCTTGTGTGATGAACGTGTGGGAGGAAAGACAAGAGCTGCTGGCTTACTAGTCAGGCACCACGGTCGCGCAAATCAGCCATCGATCCAGTCACACAGGGCCATCCTGCAGTGGGAAATGTGGATGAGTGGCGATTGACAAGTAGATTAGGGGCGCAGAGATTTTGCATCGTCGCCTTCTTCAAGTCTCAGGTAATTTGTCGGCTTTTGGATTGTGCAGCTAGAAGTGAGGGGGTGGCACTCTACAGACCTTACTGTATAGCAAATTGAAGGAATTGTGGCACACGCCGGCGTGTTAGTCTCGAGGAAAGAGGAGCCAAGTGGGCAATCAGTATCTGGACTGTTGAGCGGATTGTGGAGCAGTCGCTGTCCAGGTACTTCTGTGGAATTTGGACTTTTGACATCGACTGCCTCTGAGCACTGCAGTGAGCAATATACGCCAACCAGTTAGCGATGAAATCCGACAGCAGTCTAATGGGGAGCTTGGCCTGGCCACTCATCGTGAATTTGAAGACAGAAACATCATCGCGTTTGCCTTCCGCTTCCGCTGACAACACTTGCACCTGGCATGCAAGAAACTACTCAGTACATACATCCTCAAAGTAGTTCCACAATCTCGGACCCGAGCGACAGGCCATCTGTTCTATATCCCAGATAGTCCTCAGAGTTTCGTCGCCACGCAGCGTCTGTACGGAGTACAGTCGAGCGGAACTTGCAGCAGCACCAAATTCCCCGACAATTCCCCTAAACCCAACTACTACGCCCTTAACAATCCTTGTATGCCTCCGTTCACATTACCTCCGATGCCCCATCTCGAATAATGCGCTTGAAGCGCAGAGTCTAAATCCCATAGCACATTAAGACCATCGCAACCCAGACAGAATCAAGGCAATCCCACCCCCATGACCAGAGCAGGAGACAACTGGAACGAAAGCGATCTCCGCCGGCATAGCAGCGTTGTATCTGGTTGGTCGATTGGAACTTCCATCGCCCACCCACCACTCATTCCATCTTCTACTAGGTATGGAATCGTACTAGCCTGAGGTAGGTAAGTAGATAAGTAACGAACCCTATCTCCCCCCCCCCAATCCATTCTACCTAAGCTATACCAGCCCATCCGGTAACTCAAGTCAAGTCAAGTCACCGAGTAAGTAGGTGATACCCAATAACTTGAACCACCGGCTGATCGACCCGAGCAGATACCAAAAACAATGGCCTGATATCTGCCTTCGTGCATGGGCGCATGGGTGCATGCATGTATGTCTGTCTACTATCGCATTAGCTGGACTACCCAAGTCAAAATATACAGTACAGGAGTTACAGTACTTGCGATTGACTAATGCATCTCCCAACCAAGCAGCAAGTACTGTACCCCAGCCACAAGCCACACTTCTATTCAGCTACGCTACGGAGTACCCCGTACGTATCCTCACATCACATCCACCACGCAGCCGAATACGAGACCATCCACGCAAAGAAACACAAAGCTGGGGAAAAAGGCAGCCTGCAGTACGGCACAGCACAGCACAGCCCTGAGCAGAGCAGTTCATGCGATCCTTCCACGCTATCTGCTCCGTTTCCACCAACCAGATATCAAGCCACGATGAGGGAGGGGGGAAGGGTGGTGTGGTGTGGTGTGGCTCAGCTTAAGGTGTAGGTGTGGTGTAGCTGTAATACAGTATAACTTATAGCTTGTACCTTAGCAGAGCACAATTATATCCCGAGTCGGAAGTTAGTACGCCATCCCGGGGTATAACGGTACTTTCCGACGGAGATGGTGCAGTGGATGTGTAGTCTATTCCCGTTGGCCCTTCTGAACAAGGGAAGGGAAGGGAAGAAGTACCGTGCAGATGCCTCCGCACTAGGCACCTACAGTGCATCCGCCTGCGGCATTATTATTATACTGGGTTATCGCCACTGATTACCTACCTTCTAAGTAGTAACTTACTGATCCTAGACACCGGCTGGAATGACTTGTAAACAACAGATAAGAATAGCAAGATCATCCACAGAACAGTAGGTAGTCCGGGACGTTACTCATGCTTGTAGGTGACATGAGAATGGCAAGATCATCTCCACCACCACCACCACCACATAAAACCAATACCCAACCCCAGCTGAAACATCAGTCTAAGCATAAGAACCCCATGATATCAACCCAGAGATCATGCACACCAAATCCAGCTGCTCCCTACTACCCTACTACCCACCCTGCAGTACAGTACAAACTACCCAGCCAGCCAATATCCAACTCCCCCAAACAAGTCGCAAGTAACCCCCACCCACCCGCACATCATCTCAACCTTCAGCCCTCATCCCATCCACAGTACAGTACAGTACCAACCAAATAACAAGACACAAGAAACCACTCGACCAGACCTCCAACCGTACACTTTCCCCTGAAAAAAAGCTTCAAACCATCAACAACATGCAAACACAAAGAAAACGTCCTGGTCTCAGCTACAGCTACCAGCATCCTACTAGAGCAGTCCAAGTATCATATCGTACCACCAGCCCAGCCCATCCCAACCCAGGCTTCTAAGCTCCCCGAGCCCTGAACACATATACACTACGCAAAACCCAGGGATGCTGTTTGTGGTAGATCGGGTGACGATGACTTTTGCTTCCTTTTTTGGAATATGCTAAGGCAGGATGGGCATGCCGTCACTGTATTCATACCAAGGTAGGGAGGGGTGTTGATGAGGTGGGTGGGTTTGAGGATGTTTACTGGGTAGAGAGAGAGGGGGGGAGAGAGAGTATGTGGAGGATATCTTCGTTAAGGTGCAGGAGAGGGATGGCAACTTGAAACATTATCACGAAAGTAGAAGGGAGACGGGATTGGTTGTATGGATGTGGGCATGGGCATGGGCATGGGCATATCATAAATGAGATGCTAACTATGCTCTGCTCCGCTACTGTATACTATACTAATACCCTTGTCCATGGCTGCGGCACGGGTCCTTGGATGAAGAGGGGCAGGTTTCCGATTGAATGCGGGCGGCATGCGTAGCCTACTCCAGGCTTCCAGCGAGTAGGTACATGCATGGGATGACCAACCACTAGCACTTAAAAATGGGAGTATCTAGGAATCACCAGGGTAGTGTACAATCATTGTATGTAGTATTCTTTTGATCTCCAATTTAAAAATAGCATCTGGCGTACCTACCTGGCAACCTTGAATACAAACCCTGCCTACCGAGAATAGTAACAGCTCAACGCCCGCAATGCATAGCACAAGAATCCGAATCCGAATTCACAAGGTACAGTCACAAGACTAAAGTTGAAGGTATCTGACTCCGCCCCACCATCAATCGTCTTCCACCCGGGGCCGTTTCGATCCACGCTCGGAACGATCGACCTCCTCGAGTCCGTAGCGCTTCTGGCCCGATGATCCCGCGCCTCCCGTGACGTCGGCGATCATGCTGTCGATACCGAACGGGTCCGTCGTGTCCTTTTCGAACTGCACGGGACCATCGCGAGCCTAGGAGAGACAGATTAGCACTCTGGCCCTGACCACAAGAAAACGAAAGACTCACCTCCGCCAATTCAGCTCCCTTGAAGCCCTCCTTAGCTCGGCCCAGAACCTCGAACCGGCTCGACTTCTGGATCTTGCTCATCTCCTCGCCCGCTCCCTCCCCCTCGTCGTCGTCATCGAGCTGCGCACGCGGCCGGTAGATGCTGTTGATGGCGTCCTGCGCGGCGAACAACGGCTTGTCGTAGGGGTTGTCCTCGTTGAACCCGGAGCTCATGCCACTCGTCTGGTTGAACAGCCGCGAGTCGTACATGGCCTCGGACGACTGCGTCGGCTTGGCCAGCCCCAGCGCCACCTTCTCCGAGATATCGCGGTTCTGCTCGCGCGCCATCATCTGGATCCGCCGCTCCGTGCCCATGCGCGACTGCCGCAGCTGCCGCTCTGCCTCCTGCCGCCGCTCGCGCCGCATCTGCTCCCGCTGCCGGGCCGCCCGCTCGTCCTCGTCCTCCCCGCCACTCGGCGTGCCGGACCGATCCGAATACCTCGACGGGCTGCGGCTGACACTGCGGGCGGACGGCGACCGCGAGTAATCCCGCTGACGACGACCGCCACCGCCACTGCCGCCAGCCCTCTCGTCGCGCGCCTTCTGCGCCAACGCCCGCAGATGCTCCTCCTTCTGAGCCTTCTCCTTCTCCGCCAACTTCTGCTGCATCTGGGCGCGCAGCCGCACCTCCTCCCGCGCGTGGCGGTCGGCGGTGAACAGCGCCTCGGCGAACTGCGCGAACTTGTCATTGATCGTGACATCCTGCAACCCGCGACCATCGGCCGCCAACCGCTTGTCCAACGGCACAGTATAACCCTTGGGGTTCTTCCAATTCGACACGGGCGGCGGGATCTTCCAGGCCTCCTGATCCTCCGCGGTCAGCTTGCGGGGCGGGGAGTGCATGATGGGCGGCGGGGGCGAGGGCGGACCCCGGGGAATCTTCTTGTGCTTGAACTTGGGCGGCTCCATGGGATCCTGCTGGCGCTCGACGATCTTCATGATGCGATCGTTCTTGCGCGAGGTGTCGCCCATCTGGTTGTTGGCGGGGGTGTAGCGCACGAACGTGGGCTCGGCGCGGCGGCCCCCGCGCACGTTCTTGGGCTTCTGGGCCGACACCGCCCCTTCCACCAGACTGGCCAGCGCGGTCTTGGTCTTCTCCATCTGCGCCGCCACCTCCTCCTCCGAGGGCCGGTCCAGCGAAATCTCGCCCATGTCGACCCGCTGCCGCAGCGGGATCAGGTCCTTGAACGAGGCGTGCACGATCCGGTTGTCGCCGTGGCCCCGCCGCGCGATCGCGTCGTACTTCACCTTCCCCTCCGCGTCCACCTGCACCGCCAGCGCGTTCGATGT